AACAGGTTGAAATGATAATAATGATAATTTTTTTTCCATATCCAAAATGTGCAAATATATTTATTGTAGAGGTAAAATTCTTTAGTTTAAATTTAACACAACAAATGAAAAAGTTTTCACAACAAAAAAAAGAAGAAAGGAGAGAATTTAATAAATTAATATTTTAATGATCAAAAAATTAAGCATTTCTAATTAATTAAAACAAAATAAAAATATGCAAATTTATTTTATCATTTATTCAACTAATTTAATATTTGAAAAAGAAAAAAAAGACAAAAATTCCAAATATTAATTTCCTTTTGACGCATTAGAAAAAAAAAGTATGAAATTATATACTTTTAAAATATTAATTTATGCAAAAAATTACAGCTAACAAATTTTGATCCTAGAAATTAAATTAAATTAACTTATTAAATAAAATAAAAAAACTAAATATTAATTAAATTTAAATGAAATTAAAATAACATTAACATTTGGAGTGTTTTGTTTTCTTTTTTTAATATGATTAATTTTTTCGTTTTTGCCTTTCTTATCTTCAGTTTTACCTGAAAGTAAAACTTTAATGTTGTGCAATTACATTTCCATTTTTAGCTTAATTTAAGCGCAGAAGTTCAATGATATTTCAATTTTTAGCTTAATTTAAGCGCAAAAGTTTAATTTAGCATAATGTAAGCGCAGAATTTCAATGATATTTCAATTCTTAGCTTAGTTCAAGCGCAGAAGTTCAATGATATTTTAATTTTTAGCTTAATTTAAGCGCAAAAGTTCAGTTTAGCATAATGTTAGCACAGAATTTCAATGATATTTCAATTCTTGGCTTAGTGTAAGCGCAAAAGTTCAATAATATTTCAATTTTTAGTATAATTTAAGCGCGGCTGTTCAATGATATTATTTATTCGTCATTACAAAGTAAGGCGCAGAAGTTCAATGATGGAAAAATGAGTGGTACTTTTCATATTCATTTTGAAGAAGGCACTCATTCATTTTTGAAGTGAAACCCAATTCTCATTCACAATTTATTTTTAATTTTCATCGAAAAATTCATTGAATCTCTCCAATACTACTTTTCTCTCTCCCTTTCTCTCTCTCTTTTATTTCATATTAGATAATCCTAAATTCATTTAAATCTCTAAGGGATAATCCATTTAGTTCATTTCGTTATTTCACGATGTACTCAAAAGTACGACCATCTCTTTTCTTTGTTTTTATTTTTTTTTATTTTATTTTATTAAATTTTGGTTCCTTTCTTTAAAAACTATCATTCAATATTATTATCTTCTCAAATCTTTCTCCTAATTCTACAATTTTCAAACTACTTTTATTCAATTTTAAATTAACTCAATACTCAATACTTTATCATTTCAATTTAAATTATCAATCACATTCATTCTGAATTAATTTCAATTCCAATTCCAATTTCAATTTCAAATTCAATGGCTACTGATTTATTACAATTGGTTAGCCTTATGCTTGCCAATGTTTCTGATCTGTACAGTATGCGATATTCTTGTATGTTTATTACAAATCTTTTTTTTTTATTTGAATTAAATTTAAATTAGATTAATAGTTTTTAAAAATATTAATATTTCGTTAAATTTAAAATAAAAAATCAATATTGCTATCTTTTAATATTATTATTTTTGTTAATTATTAATAATTGATTTAGTTATAAATACATGCATTAATTTTAAGAAATTTAAATATTTAATTAAATTTTATACAAAAATTTTATGATTTTATTATTTCAAAAATGGAATAAAAATAAGTTTTTTTAGCATATTAATTTTATTATTAAGACTTTTTATTATTTTATTTTATTATTATTGAAATTATTAAGACTGATTGAGAACAGATTAATATTTCCGGAATTATTACATCATAAAATGTCTAGCAGTAATAAAACTGCATGAACGGATTAATATTTCCGGAATTATTATATCGTAAAATATGTAGCAGTAGTAGTTGTTATATGGCATCATTTTTTCCAATAAATTTGTTATTTATTCGTTTTGAAATAGAAAATGAAATTTCCTTCATTCCGTTTTTGATGTTACAATCAATGTAAACTAACGGATTTCAAGATGAATGATTTCCGGAAAAACTATATTTGCTATTAGTATTAGCGGAAAAAAAGAAAAAATTTTATGTTTACTTTCTCAATTTTATTCTCATTTTCTTTTTTTTTTTTTGCTTTAGAATAATTTAATTAATAATTTTAATTCTAAGAAAAGAAAAAGGAAATTTGAGTAATAAATAATTTTAAATGGGTAATTACTCAGTAATTAATTTATGATTAATTTCATTTCATTTAGTAATTTCAATGATATCATTGTAAATAAATTATTATCAAATATTCTTAAAAATTTTAATAATTAAATCGAAAAAGGTGTAAAATTCAAATGAAAAAAAAGAGAAAAAACAATTTCACTTCGAGGAAGTAATTTTCATAAATATTAAATTTGCATTTTATAATTTTGAAACAAATTTTCTCAAAAATGATTTTTATTTTATTGCCAAATCAATCAAAATGATATAATTACATCATAACTACGAATATATTAAAAACTTTTTTAAATTATTTTTTAAATTAATAATGCAATTTTTCACTTTATACTTTTTTTCTTTTCATTTAATTTGAAATTCAATTTGAAATGAAAAATGGTTAATTAGTAATTAGTTATACATACATATATATGTTTGATTTGATAAATTTGAAAGTGACATTTTCCCATAAAATTTTATCAATTTATCACTGATAAAAACATATACAAATAGATATCAAATATGATTAATCATTTCATTCATATTATCAATTATAAGTATTACTTTTATCATTTATCAATTATTTATGGATGATAAAAGATGAGAGTAATAAGAAAGCAACAAGATAATCATTATAATTTATAATAATTAATCATAATAATCATTATTATTTTGAAAAATTTTGAATGTTTTTTTTTTTTAAAATTATAATTTTGGGATCATTCGGTTTTTTTTACTAAATTTTTTTTCATTTTTTTTTTTAATTTTTATGAATTAATTAGGAATAAATTTTTATGTGAAATTTTTTTTTTTTTTAGTTTCAATGAGACGAAATTTTTAATATTCGATTTTGTTTTGCATTTAATTTTGCTAATTTTAGAAGATTTTCTTTTTTGCATAAAAATTATATAATCTTTAAATGATAAAAGAAATTGAGCAATTAAATGCTAGATCAAATAAGGTGAAAGGTTAAAGGTGAAAGGTGAGAGGTGAGAGGTGACTGATTCTTCTGTTAATGATAAAATAGGAAAGACTAAAATTGAAATAATAAATTAAATCAATCATTAGATAATCATTTATCATATTTTATTTTTCAAATTTATCAAATAATTGTGTTCAATAAAAGTTTTCGTTGAGTAATTTTTTTTGAGTAATTTAATTTCAAATTTATGAAAGTATCACACTTTATAGTAATTTATTTATTAACTGTGTAAACTATAAGTTATTTTAAATTAATACTATCACATCTGAAATACTGAATTACTAGTTATTTTCATTTACAGTTATGAAAAGGAAAAAGTTCATTACTTATCTAATTTAAAAAAAAAAAAGTTGCGGAGAACATTTCCGCCCAGATAATACTTCTCGAATGTGGCGGAATTGACCTATCGGACATTTAGAGAAAAAAATAATTATAAGTAATAATAATAATGATAATAAAACTAACATTTTATAACATTTCATTTAATAACAAAGTAATTTTAATTTTTAATTTTTCTGCTTTATTAATAACTTCAATTTACTTAAGTAATTTTAATAATTTCAATTTGTTTATAAAAATAAGTTAATTAGTATATTTTTAAAGGTAAGTTAATGAGTATATTATGATGTATGCTTAATTGTAACCTTTCAACTTATACTAAAATATGCTAATTAATTTGTTATTTCACATACGTATGTATTAAATACTACTAAGTAACTAAGTAAGTTAAAACAATTGCAGTACTAAGTTAAGTAAGTTGTCAACAAGTTAAAGATGCAATTAACTTAAAGTTTTTAATTTGAAAGAGAAAAAAAAAGTTTCTTTTTATAAATAAAATCAAATTTTATTCTCTAAAAGATAAAACAATGGAAAAAAGTACACAAAAATGAATAATAAATGATGAAAAAATAAGAAATAATAATTTTATTTTACCTTTTTTTGTTACCCAAAAAAAAAAATTTGTTTTTTCCTAAATTTTAATCTTTGATAAACAAATAAATATAATCGCATATGAATTAAATTCAATTTAATTGTAAATTAATCAACAAATTAATTATTTAAATTAATATTAAATTTTGTTAGTAAAATACTAAATATATTAGTAATTTAATTTTGAAAAAAAAAATTTTTTTTTCGTTTTCATTAAAAATATAATTGCATATAAAAAAAAATTCGTTTTACAATTAATTCAAATAATTTTATTATTATATATAATATACATTTCCACTAGCAGAAAAAAACGTAAACTTTATTTGATAGAAATTTTATAAAATTTAATAAATTATCACTTTAAAAGAGAATCAATACAACAATATTTTAAATTTACAAAATAAGAATTTAAATTCTTAAAATTTAAATATTTCATGAAAGTTTGATTAATTTACAAAGAAAAAGTAAATACTAAATTATAATTCATTTTCGAAAAATTTTTCAAGCTTTCAAGTAATTTAATTGCAATCTGAATTAGTAAAAAATGAGAAAAAAAGTTAAAATATATATAAAACAAGCAAAAAAAAATTGAAATTTTATTAAATGTTATTAAGTATTTAAATTTATTTTCAAAAAGTTTATTTTTATAAAATTTATTTTTACAAAGTATTTATTTACTTTTACAAAGTATATATTAACTTTGAGGTTTTTCTTGCTTTTTTTCAATTTAAAATTTAAAAATAATAAATTATTAAAATTTTTTTTTGCTCCTTTTTCTTAAACTTTTTTTAAAAAATTTTTTTATATTTGAAATACCACATTACAGCATCACGAATTTTATGCTATAGTTGTATGAGCCCATACCTGGAACATCAATATATGTACATATCACACCTGTATCGACGACCAATGTCCTTCACACCAAAATGTGATCAATCCAGGTATGTCTCTCTCTCTCTCTCTCTCTCCCTTTCTCTCTTTTATTTCTTTAAAAAAATTAAATAAATTAAATTTCGTTTTTTTTTTTTGTTCAAATATTTATTAAATATTATTATGAATAAAATTAAATTACATTAGAAATGAAATGAAATATTTTTAAAAAGTAAAAATTTTATCCAATATCTCTTTAATAATGGCAAAAAAAATTAAATTATTTCCAATTTTTTTTTTGTTGTTAATTTAATTTTTTAAAATTTGTAAAAAAAAAGTATTTTTGTATATTTTTTTTGCTTTTGTTTTTTTTTCCATTGTTTATGTAATGCTTTTGTTAAATTTTAAATTATTTTAACAATGTAATAATAAACAAAATTTTTGTTTTTAAAATTTAATTCTTAAATTTTACAAACTTTCATTTAAATATATTATAGAAAAATCAAAAAAAAGAAAACTTTTTTTTAGTGTTTTCAAATCTTTTAAATTTGAATTTTCCGTATTTTTCTTTGCTTCCTTTCCTTTCCTTTTTTTTTTTGTTATTTGTAGAAAATTTTTATTTCTTAAAAAAAAAAACTTTAAAATTCCTAAGAGAATTTTCATTTTTCTCATCTAACTTTCATCACTTTAAATTTTTGAAATAAATTGAATTTTTACATTTACTTACTAAATAGCAAATTGATTATTGCATTGAATAAGTTTTTAAGTAAAACACATTTTCACATTTATAATTAAAAGCTTTTAAAGCTTATAACAAATAATTAATTAGTAAAAGCACTCTTAAACAGGTGTAATTAGCAAAATGTCAATAAGAATAAATTTTAAAATTACTTACAAATAATAATTCATTGTAAACATTTCATTTTTAAATTATTCATTCTAAAGTTTGCTTAAAAGAAACGAAATGATAATAAAAATTTTGAAGTAAAATATTTTTGAAAATAATATTTTAAAAATTGAAATTTAAAAATTTTCATCTTTTTTTTAGCATAAAATTTCGAATTAAATATTTTTATTTTTTTTAATTTTTATTCATTTTTATATTGAAATAAAAAGCAATTGAATAAAGTATCATTAGATTTTTTTAATTTTTTTTTGATGGATTTTATTAAAATTAATGATTAATAAAAATTAGATTAGCATAATAATATGTGTATGATAAAATAAAATTTATAAATTTTCAATCTTTTGACAGTTTTTTTTAATTTAATTTTTTTTTTAAAAATTTCATTGCTTAAAAAGTAAGAAACAGTAGTAATATTTGACAGTAAATGTAGCGATTAAATGAAATTTAATTAAATTGAAATGACTAATTTTTATCAATTTGAAATATTAGTTTTAATTTTTTTTAAAAAAAAAAGGAAAAATCTTTCCAACAAAAAAAGCTTATCATCAAATGAATTTATTATGAATTCGTTTGAGATAATTAATTAAAATTAATTACATTAATAGTAAACTACAAATAAATATATTATTAATTTGCTATTCAAAATTAAATTTTTAATAATTTTTTTTTTTGAATTTTAATATTAAATGCAAAAATGTATTGCAATATTCATTTTGTATAAGAATTCAAATTCAATTATTAAATTTAATGCACAATATTTAATCAAGTCTAGTAATTTCTATTGAATTTCAATCTTGCATTAAGATAGCCTAGTTTAGTCTAGGCTTATTTAGTCTAGTCTAGCCTAGCCTAATCTATTCTAGTCTAATTTGTTAAAAACTTGCACATCTTTCCTCTCTCTTTTTCATTTTTTTTTTTTTTTTTGATTTCTTTTAATGAAAATCGAAAAAAAAATTAATTATATGAAATTGAATTACTCGATTCTGTCTAAGTTATAATTAAACTAAAATTGAATGAAATAATCAAATCGTAAATGACAAACTTTTTTTTTTTCTTTTCATATATTTTTGAAAAATGCAAAAGAGCGGAAAAAAAAATTTTTTCAGTTTAGATTACTTAATTACTTTTCAATTGCCTTTACGCTGTCACTTTTCATTACTTCTCAATTACTTTAATGCTCTCTCAGTTTGAAAAGTTAGTAAATGTAGTAAATAAAATTATGATTTTCAAAAGAAAGAAAATTTAATTTTTAAAATTTTATAATTATTAATTTTTTCATTTGCGATAGTATTTTTGTTTCAATTAATTATTCCCTAGCAAAAGAATTATATTTAATTTAACAGAAATAAAATTTAAAAATATTTTTGATTCCAAAATACTTAATTAAATGTAATTATTCTTAACTTCAATTGATAAGCATAAATTTGTGAAAAAATTGCTAATTGCATAATTTTGACAAAATTTTGACAGAATAATTCAATTAATTAAATTTGCAAAAAAAAAAAAATTATCAGTATGAAATTTAAATTAATTATAAAAATAGTACGTTTATTAGTAAAATTTAAAAAAAAATTATTTAAAAAACTTTAAGAAAACCAACGAGTACTAATATTCAATTACTTAAGTCATAAACTGTAGTAGCCAAAAGTTACTAGTTTCTTGGCCAAGGAAAAAAGTGCAAAACAGGAAATGAGCCTAATAATAAGTAATACGATACTAGCAACACTTAATAATAGTCCAAATTTTATTTTAATTGATTTTGCTTAAAACTTTTTTTGTCAAAATTACTAGGCCAGGCTTTTATAATATAACCTTGCATTCTAGGCATAATTTTTCCTAAAAAGCCTATAATACTAAAAATAAAACGATGAATGTTTCATTTCATTTATAATTTCATCTTTTCAAATAAAACTTATTAATTTAATTTATGATTTATTAACAAATCAATTTTATGCTATTTTTTTTATTTTTATTTTATTATTTATAATTTATTTTATTTATAATATTAATATTTATAATTTATTGTTTATATTTTATTTTATTTATAATTATTTTATTTTATTTATAATTTATTTTATTTATAATTAGCCTAATTTACCAAAATGTTATCAGTAATGATTATTTGAAAAATAAAACAGTAAAAATGAAAAAAAAAATGATTGATAATTTTATAATGTAAGTGTAAATGAGAAAATTACACAAATTTTTTAATTGTAACTTTTTAATTTTAAAATTTTAAAATTATTTTTATTTGCAATGATAAAAATTATTTTATGAAAAATTACAAATTATATTTTACTTTCATCTCATTTAACTCTGAAAATTTAGCATTGATTGCTGGTAAAAATATGAAACTTTTCAATTTTGCTTCAATTCACTTCAATGAATAATTTATCAAAAAAAAAAAAAAAAAAATTTAAGCAATAATTTATTTAACTTTAAAATGTTATTATATAAGCAATCAGCCAAATAAACGATGCATTATCAAAATGAAATTTATTTCAGTGTAAAATTTCAAACAATTTAACAAAACATTTTTTAAGTCATCCAGAAAAATTAAATTAGTTAGTTCATTTCTGATTTGCTTCTTTTGCTTCTTTCTCTTTTTTTTTTTTTGCTTTTTATATTAAAATGAAAAAAAAAAATTTTAATTCTTTTTTTCATCTTATTTATAGTAAATTTTAAATTATTATTTGAAATGAAAAAAATTGCCTAATAAAAATTTTTTTTAATAATTTTTCTATTTTTTTTTTTTTTTTAATTTATTCAAATAAAAAATGACGTAA